AGAGATATCAGGAATGAGCGCCAAAAATGTCATGTTAAGGTTACGCGCAGCTATGGATCATATCCGGGAGATAGGAAAGGCGTGCACTAAACCATCATCAGAAACTAGTGAGCATAAGATTTGCTTCCTCCGCTTCTTTGCCCCATTTGAGAAGCTGTCATTCAAGTTTCGCTACTAGACAAAGACATCACTCACTCATGACCAAATACCCTCCAAGACCTTATAGGGACCAAGACCGCAATATTCCCATCCAACAAGCAGCAGCCAAGGCCACCGCGCGTTTCAAATGAACTCGCGGTATCTATCCTTTCCTGTTTTCGAGTGGAGCGTATAGTTGACACCATTCGCAATCAGTGATGATTTGGTTTCGCAAAGAGATAAATAACCCCAATACTGCCGCCAGCCGTTCCTGCCATTAGTTCTGCTTCTTTCCTTGAAATCCATCAGCAGTCGCGTCATTCATTGTAAAGCAGGGACTGTCCGGCCTACAAACCGGCGCGCCGCGCGACGGGCGCGGCCGCCGAACGGGCGCCGCGCCCCCCGCCGCGCCGCGCCTGCGGGCCTCATCCCGCTTTTCAACACAGCCTATCCCCGACTAGACTAGCTTATATCCTACCCCAAGCCATACGCCTAACACTACCTTATCCCTCCGAAACAGGAGTCCCAAGGGCGTGGCATTGAACATGGCACGGAACTGGTTACTCGTGGAATATTCCAGTCTGGGACAACTGTCATCTTGTTCTGTGTTGGACAGAGACACGACAACAATTGTGTCAAGATGAAAATATCTCACCAGAAGCGTAGGGACCTTCAGGTTAAGTTGAAAACATTTGCGACCACGGCCTACCGCATCTCAGGGATTTCGAGTAATATAGTGTGATTCAAATGACTTCACTCGCTCACTGAATGGTAGCCTTATCGCTGAAAGACGTGAGTGGGCCATTAGTCACTTCCAGAGCGCAATTATGCATATACAGGGGAGAGGGGGGGGCAAAAAAAGTCATTCCGGCCGAGTCACATATGAGCGAAGTTTTCGCAGCCCAGACAGAGGAAGTGGATATGAGTACCAGGGCGGAGATACCCAAGATACCTCACGGACCTCTTACCTCTATAAGCAGGAGCCGGCTGCCGCCATTCACCTTCATGTACACCAAAATATGAAGTCATCTCCAGTCGCGGCCTGAGTGGAGAACGCCTTTGAATTCACGTGGCTCCAAACAGCTGCGGAACTTCTTGAATGGAATCACCCATGGATAGCTACCTGGAGACCAGTACTCTTGATCTGCAAGACCTCAACATCGAGCAGCTCCGGCAACGTCGCTACGGTCCAGGACATCATCTTCACCCCATTCACCAAGGCGCGGGTTGATGGTGTGGACCGGCCGTACCTGGAAATGGTGAATGAAACCGATGTTTTTCTTCTTGGGCCCAGACTGAGGGTTTTGTTGCGCTGGTAGCTTACATCTAAGTAACTCGAGGAGAATATCCCATCTTCATGTCGTCGCCCGTACCTTCTTGGAAACTTTGTACTGCTACAGATTGGGTGACAACACATTTAATCGAAGGGCGTTGGAAAAACTTTTCGCCACTCGCGAATGGTAAGAGCGTTGAAGTACCTGAGAAAGATGGAGCTATTGAAGCGGGGATCCTCCGAACATAAACAACCCATTCAAATTACTACGGTTCGAAACGAACGAGAGCTCTACAGCCGGACGGAAAAAATCAACGATCTCGCTCCAACTCCTGCGTACCTACTCACTCCTCGCACGCAGGAGCCAAGACAACCACCACGAATACTCTCGCAATATGCACCAGCGCCTCCCAGAAGGAATGTGGCGGACTATCATTATAGCTTTTAGTATCGCTCTAATAAATATCGACGGTTAGTACCCCAAAATGTCCGGACAAAATTCAACTAAGTGTAACGTATAGATGTAACGCCTTGCAAAGTCAGGGAGGCAAAATAAACTCTTTTTTGCCCCCCCCTGCCATTTATCCTGAATTGGTAGCCTTTTCTGGTAGTGGCACGCTTACCACGCGACGGTCCGGGAATCGAAATCCGACTCCCAATCAGGCCAACCAAGCCCTACCTCCGGGGACGGTAAATTGGTACCAGATTCGTCTGGGAGGATAAAACACTGACTTGTACATCGGCTGGCCCCGCAAGTCATTGTATAGGCCACATCGCATTCAATAAGCCACTACGATTCTGAATGGAAGTAGAATGCGTGCCGCATCCCACAAAGGGATTGATCAACGGCGAAGACTTTATCCTTTGCTTTGTTTAAAAATTCTGAGGTGCAGTAGTAGCAGTATACCCGGTAGCTGGAGGAATCGTCTGCCATTGCGCTTTATGGAAGTTTGGACTTCGGGAAATTACCGTACTCGCAACTGGCAATGTATAACCAGTCTTCTCTGGAAGGACACCAAGTCAGTGATATGAAGCCTCATTTCGCGATTGTACATACGTTGGTGGCAGCAGGTTGAAAACGAAATGGAAGGTGATTACTTAGAGGCGGGGGCGGGTAGATTGTTTGTGAATAATCATGACGATGATGGAAACGTTATGAGACGCCAGGAAATGATACCAGTTTCATTGTGTAAGGTCACGTATCATTCCCGCGGTCAAGTTTCTTGTTCGATCGAAGCAGCGCACGATTAGCAAGAAACTTCGCAGTAGGCTAGAAATCCGTCGAGGTCATCAGACGCTACCGACGATGCTTGGTGATACTCTGGATCCATTATTGGATGTGAGCAGTGGATTTGCTTATTCGTGGCCAATTCACATAAGAGTAATGAAAATGCCCGGGATTATTGGAACCCTTAAACGGCGCAGTTCGGCGACGGGGGGGGCGTTTGCACTTTTGCTGCTTCCCATCGACGTGTTGACCTGTCTAGACAGCCTCTTCTCGAGTTGACAGGTTTTCTGGCTTGACGACCTTGCTCCAGCTTCACAAGAGTTCACAGGTTTCGCCAGAGTGAGACTTGTAAACCGGAACTAAGGAGGAGTGATAGTACAAAATGAACCTCCGTCGCCGAACTGCGCCCCCTTAAACTTCTATGCGCTGAGCAGCTATTGAATAAGTGAAGCCAGCTACGGGGGCAGATGCTGCATCACAGTTCATCGCCCGGAAGATCGCATTCCACTTTCAAAGGCACTATCCGCAGTAACCTATGAGGTTTGAAGATTGTGTGGGGAAGGTATTGGAACACCTTGTACCAGCTTTGCAGCAAGGTCAGAAGGTAAGGGGGCTGAAGCTCAATGTTGCTGCAGTGACGCCTCCTTTTTCAGGGAACTCCACCCTTGAACTTAGCTTTAAATGTTCGCTCTCTAATGAAGACCGCATCTGCCGGGGGAGTCGACTATGTTAAAAGCGCCACCAAACATGGCCCTAGGACCAATGAAGGCCCTAAACAATGGATTTTCTCAAAATGAGAAAACAAGTCAAGCATGGTCCTGCCGGAAGTGGTCATGGTTAGCAATCCTTTTTCTCTTGTTTCTGT